TTTCTTTTCTGTCACTCAGGGTAAATGCCACCCATTGATTCTGCATTGATAGAGTGTCAGCAGTTCATAAGGAGCTGCACGAGAGCCTCCCTGCAGAGGGGGTTTGCCAGAGCTCCTCCTGGGCTCTCAGAATGCACAAAAACCGCCCTGGTTCCACCAGGATTCACTGGGAATTTGGATTTTAATAATGCACAAAACCCACCCTGGTTCCACCAGGATTCATTGGGAATTTTGTTGTATATTTACAAAAAACCCACCTTGGTTCCACCAGGATTCACTGGGAATTTGTCATTTATTTCCAATAACCCACCCTGGTTCCACCAGGATTCACTGGGAATTTGGATTTTAATAATGCACAAAAACCACCCTGGTTCCACCAGGATTCATTGGGAATTTGGATTTTAATAATAATAAATTTATTCACAAAATAATAAATTTATTCACAAAAACCACCCTGGTTTCACCAGGATTCACTGGGAATTTTGTTATATATTTACAAAAAACCCACCTTGATTTCACCAGGAGTAATTGGGAATTTGGCACTTAATAACTCACAAAAACCCACCCTGGTTCCACCAGGATTCACTGGGAATTTGGATTTTAATAATAATAAATTTATTCACAAAATAATAAATTTATTCACAAAAACCACCCTGGTTCCACCAGGATTCACTGGGAATTTGGCTGTTTATTTACAAAAACCCGTCCTGAGTTTACCAGGATTCATTGGGAATTTTGTTATATATTTACAAAAAACCCACCTTGATTTCATCGGGAGTAATTGGTAATTTGGCACTTAAAAGTTGATGAAAACCCACCTAATTTCATCAGTATTAATTGGGCATTTAGATTTTAATAATTAACAAAATTTACAAAACCCCCCCCCCGATTTAATCAGGATTAATTGGGAATTGGGCTATTTATTTACCAAAAATCCACCCTGATTTAATCAGGATTAATTGGGAATTTGACTTCTAATACTTTACAAAAAAATCACCCTGATTTCATCAGGATTGATTGGAAATTTTCCTCTTAATAATCTACCAAAAAATTGTACTAATTATTCATAATTCTGATTTCACCAGGATTAACTGGGCATTTATCTTTTAATAATTTCCAAAAAGCCCACTCTGATTTCACCATGACTAATTGGGAATTTGGCATTTATTTCCAATAACCCGCCCTGGTTCCACCGGGATTAATTGGGAATTTGGCATCCTGAGGAACCTGGCCCAGGTTTAATTACAAATAAATAATAAAATCATCACCTTCTGTTTTNTTTGCCCTGTCTGAGGGTGATTTTACACACAAAAAAACCCAATTATTAAAGCTTTTCTTCTCCAGCAATAATTGCTGGAGGTACAGAGAGGTGAAATATTGGAATTCTTTAAAGTTAGTGCCACGTCTCTGCCAGTGCTGCCATAAATCAGAGGGAGGCAGTAAAACCAGTGAAGGGGAAAGCCTTTAATGGTTTTGTTTTTATGCAAAATTACATTGGATTTTGAGGTGTTTTTATTTTTAACTTCCTTTATTTTCTCACGTTTTCATGGTTAGAAATAGTGAAGTCATTGTTAAATGGCCAATTTTGGGTGTTGCTCCTCAGAAATTAAGACAAACTGCTGTTGGAATACTCTGGGAAATTATTTTGGGTACATGGGAACATCAATAATTCTTTCCATCTTTATATGCACCCTCTGATCATCAAATAAATGCAGAAATTGAATTTTGCTGAGATTTTCTGTAGGTCCTTAAGCTCTCATATAGGATTTGCCATAATCTGATTTAATTCAATTTATTTGGTGAAGCTGCTTGTCTGTGAAAATACCCATGGGACTGAGATAATCCTGATTTTCCATGAAAATTCTGAATAATGCTGATAATCTCAATTAGTTCCATTGAAGGAAAATGGGGAAATGGATAAATTCGAGGTTGGACTCAAAGATTTAAAGTTGGACCTAATTTTGGAAGTCTTTTCCAACCTAAATGATTCTGTTAAATTCCCATTTATAATTTATTTTTCTGCTGTATCAAAACCTGCAAGCTGTGTGTATTTTATATCAAAAATCAAGATACAAACCCCTATGAATGGTTCCCTTGTAAATTTATTTTTGATCCCTTGTTTTCCTCGGTTTTCCTTTAGTAATGCTGGATAAAATTGAATTTACAGAAAATCCATGAGGTAAAATTCATTTTTCTGTGAAATGAGTGTATTTATATGGCACATCCTCACAGAGGCAATTTTATATAATCTCAAATTATTGAATTTTTTTCCTCACCCAGGGCTTACCATGTCCGTAGTGGAAAAATCCTGGCAGTGAAGGTAAGAAATTCCAGACATTTAATTTTTTCCCAATTTTTCCTGCCCTTACTTTCCTTGCCTTCCCTCTGATTTTTGTCTCTCAATTTGATTTATTGCATTAGTTAATTTATTTACAGGAAATTTATTTGTTTATGACTTATTTACTGTAAATTTGGTGATTCCCAGTGAGCTCAGATTCCCAAAATTCAGGATTTTCCCCCAGGGAATTGCCTGAAAATCCCACATTTTGATCCTCCATGGATCTTTCCAAGGGCAGTTGGGTTCCTTGATTAAATCTGGAATTTGTAGAATTCTGTGGTCAGGAAAAATCCCAATTTTCTCTGAAATTCACTTAAAACTGGGGTAAAATAATAGCAACAGTGGGGCAGACCTTGGATGCAATTTGTGAATTAAATTATGCTTGTAAATGAAATTATTAATTATATCATGAATGAAATAATTAATTATATATTATATTAATTAAGAATTATATTAATTATGATTAGTTCATATGCAGAAAAATAAGCCAAAAAAATGCAATTTTGTGGGGCTTTTTAATGATAAAATCCAGATTTAACTGCACAAGACAACCACAAACCTGTTGACTAAAACACTTCCAGCTGGTACATAATCAACGCAGTGCTAATAATCCATAACATAATCCCTCAGCGATGCACCAAATTCCATATTTTGCATAATTTTAAGTTCCACGGGACTTAATCTCTTTTTCCAAGTCACTTTTTTCCTGTTTAAAGGAGAAAATCCCAGCAAGCCTGCACTGTTTTAGCTGCAATTCCAGCGCAGCATTTGATTATCATTATTACCTTTATTATTTATTCCTCCTGCCCACAACACCCCGAATTTCCTCTGAGCTGCAAGAGACGAGGATGTTTTAATTAAATTAAAGCAGAATCTCCCAGCCTGACCTGTGATTTTTGCTCTGCCTCCCTTTAGAGGAGGCAGCAAATGGAGGGAGGCAGCGGTGACAGCCCGTGATGAATTGCTGTTGTTTATTCTGGATATCTGAACGGCCTCTCCCTAATTCAAATTGAGCAGGGAGTAAATTATAATTCAGTCACTCAGCTGCTGGGGCTCACCTGACAGCTCAGCCTCAGGTGGATTCCTCTCTGCAAAATTCACCCCGGCCACGAGCGGGGCTCCAAAATTTGAATTTTTTGGACAAAAAATCCGTTAGGAAGGCGCAGCTTGGTCAGGAAGATCAGAGACTTTCCCAGAGAGTTTGCATGTTGTTTAAATTCATTTTTAAAAAGTCCTTCTGGTCCAGCATCCGTCCCCAACTCAACTCCAAAGTTCTCCTTTTCCCTGAGCCTGAGGGCTCCAAAATCACTGAAATTTGGGCAAAAATGTCATTAGGAAAATCAGAGGACTTCCCAGAGGATTTGCAGGTCATTTAAATTAATTTTTAAGAAGTTCTTGTGGTCCAGCATCCATCCCCAGCTCTACTCCAAAGTTCTCCCTTTTCCCTGAGCCTATGGGCTCCAAAATCACTGAAATTTGGGCAAAAACGTCATTGGGAAAATCAGAGGACTTCCCAGAGAGTTTGCATGTTGTTAAAATTAATTTTTAAAAAGTTCTTGTGGTCCAAGAAGGCTTTGGAGCCCCACTCATTCATCCCCAACTCAATTCCAAAGTTCACCATTTTCCCTGGGCCTGAGGGCTCCAAAATCACTGAAATTTGGGCAGAAACTTCATTAGGAAGATCAGAGGACTTCCCAGAGGGTTTGCATGTTCCTTAAATTAATTTTTGAAAAGTTCTGGTCCAGCATCCGTCCCCAGCTCTACTCCAAAGTTCTCCCTTTTCCTGGGCCTGAGGGCTCCAAAATCACTGAATTTTGGGCAAAAACGTCATTGGGAAAATCAGAGGACTTCCGGGAGGATTTGCAGGTCATTTAAATTAATTTTTAAAAAGTTCTTGTGGTCCAAGAAGGCTTTGGAGCCCCACTCACTCATCCCCAACTCAACTCCAAAGTTCTCCTTTTCCCTGGGCCTGAGGGCTCCAAAATCACTGAATTTTGGGCAAAAAATTTGTTAGGAAGGTGCAGCTTGGTCAGGAAGATCAGAGGACTTCCCAGAGTGTTTGCATGTTGCTTAAATTAATTTTTAAAAAGTTCTTGTGGTCCAAGAAGGCTTTGGAGCCCCATTCACTCATCCCCAACTCTACTCCAAAATTCTCCCTTTTCCCTGGGTCTGAGGACTCCAAAATCACTGAATTTTGGGCAAAAACATCATTAGGAAAATCAGAGGACTTCCCAGAGGACTTGCATGTTGTTTAAATTAATTTTTGAAAAGTTTTGGTCCAGCATCCGTCCCCAGCTCAACCATCTCACCCAGGTGTGCTCAGGGGATCCCAGGGCAATAATGATTGGAGCTGCAAAGTTCTTGGTTTAGGGGAGAAAAGCACAAAAAATATTCAGTTATTGGATGTTCCCAGGGAGATTTTGGATTCCCCATCCTGGAGTGTCCAAGGCCAGGTGGGGAAGGTGGAATGAGATCCCTTTAAGGGCCTTTCCCACCCAAACCATTGCAGGGATTTGCATCCAAATCTTCATTCCCAGCTTCATCCTCAGCAGCAATGACTCTGAGGAGATTTTTTTTGGTTATTTTGGTTTTGGTGTTTTTTTTTTTTTATTTTTTTTGTTTTGTTTTGATTTGTTTTTTTGTTTTTGCTGTAACGCAGTTCCAGCCCATGCTGGAAACTGTCACCTCATCAATCCCTGCAAGTTTTTTACCTGTACAAAACAAGCTTGGAAATTTCATACAAAAGGAGATGATAGATGCAGGTTAAGGTGAGATATAAATATTTTTTTCCTCTTTTTGTAATGTAATAAAGAAATTTCCTCCAGCCTTGACATGAGGCGGGGTCACACAGGCCACACATTTCCAACTGTAAGGAAATATAAAATAATTCTGCAGAGGAAGGGAGGCTGATCTCCCCTAATTAATTTTGGGGTGAAATAATCTTGTAATTGCTCTGTCTGTGTCCTGACCACCTGGAAATGGACAAACTCTGCTTTCCCAAGTTATCCTCGTTATTGGGTTTTTTGTAATTAGGGTTGATGCAAATGAGCCCCAGACCTTTCCTCATTTAGGCTTTGGGATGCCAGGGATGTCTTTGCTCCTGGGGTCAGAGAAATTCCCCGCTGGGATTTGAAGGGAGTGGGATAAAGTTTAGATTTGACACCCCTGACAAGATGGAATTTGGTGAAATTCAGAGAACACCCCTGGTGGGATCCCAGCAGATGAATTTCTGAGGTTTCCACGCTGGAAAAAAATGTAAGTGGATATTGTTGGCAAATGATTATTGATCTGGACAAGCGTGTTAAATGTTTCTTGGCAGCCCTGTACTCCACTTACAATTTAGTTTAGTGGCAGCTTTTATAAATAACCCCGGAGCAGCTCGGGGAGAGGCAGGTTATTGGTTTTTCCTGGAGACAGATTTTGGTGCTGGGTTGGAAATGGGCTCCCCGTGTTGTGTTCTGTTCTGTCAGCGTTATTCCTGGAATGTTTATCCTGCTGCTCCCGAAAACTGACTGGGTTCTGCTTCCCTTTAAAGTATTGAATAGTGAGGGGTTGGCTGGGCCTGGCTCCGAGCACTCAGTCTGGTTTGGTTTGTAAAGCAGAGCTTAATAATTGAGGTTTCAAGTCTTCAGAGAGCTGTGGCAAGAAATTCTGTGTTCAGTTCGACTTTCTGTGCCTTGTTCAGAGGTTCTGCCCCGAAAAATCCTGGGAATTGAGAATTGCAGCCCCCTTTGGCTGCTTTGGTCCTGCTGGGCACTGGGGATGGTGACAAAATTCCCTTCCTGTTAAAATATTCTTTCCACCTATTCCTCTCCTTCTTTTTGTCCCTCAATGATCATTATTCCACAGATCTTCAGGATTTTTATTCTGAATAATTCCCTTCCCTTTTACATGAATTCTGTGTATTTCTGTCTTTCAGGTCATACCCTTGGATATAACACTGGAGCTCCAGAAGCAGATCATGTCAGAGTTAGAAATTCTTTACAAGGTACATGTAATAATTCCAGTTTTACCATTGGAATTATTTGCACTTCAGTTTTCTTACAGCAGATTCTAAAACAGCCTCGTGGCTTTTTTGTCTCTTTTCCCAGTGTGACTCCTCGTATATCATAGGATTTTATGGTGCTTTTTTTGTAGAAAACAGGATTTCATTGTGCACAGAGTTCATGGATGGTGAGTAGTGGATCCAGTTTGCTTTTGATTGCTAAGTAATTAAATGAGAAAGGATTTTTTTTTTGGTAGAATGAAATGCAACAGTAAGGCTTGAAAATGTGGAGTATTAATAATATTGCAGGTAGTTAAAAAACCAGAGCAGGTTGGAATTGGGACTGGGGGACATTCTGCATTTTCCCTGCGTGGAACTTCGCCTACTTTTATGGAAAATGTAAATAGAAGAGGAATAAAGGCAGCCTTAATTTGTGGTTTGATATTTGAGCCTCCCGTGCAATCTGTCCTCGCTGACAAAACAGCTGTTCCTCACTTGTAGTGTTTTGATAGCCAAAACAGCTTTTCCTTTCAAGAAATCTATTAACCCAATGTCCTGGGTGTTTGCAGTGGAAATGGTCTCTTAATTACCAGGCAAGGAGTTATTTTCCAACCCAGCTGTTTCCCAGCTCGCTGCCGAGCTCCTTCTGGAGTCCCCTCGTTCCTCCCCACGAGAATCCTCACCCCAAACCCATCCCCGACCCCACAGCCTGGAATTCCAGAATTCCCCTGGCCTGGGGAATTGGGGATATTCCCGAGGAAAAGCAGGGACAATGCCCTGGGGCAGCAGTTTGCCAGATTTTTAACTCTCAGTTTTCAATTTCTTTCCTTAAGAATTTGTATTTCAACCCAGGGACATTTTGGATTCTGCTTTGATCACGAATTTTGTTTTGCAGAAGAGAAGGGAGGTTTCCCACTCCCTTGGGAATGTCTGTAGGGATTTAGAGGGAATCCCATGTCCCCATCAATGGAGGATGCTGAAAGGGCTGTGCCAGGTTCTTTCCCATTCTGGATTTACTGGGAAAACTTCAACTGCTTCCCCACCAGGAATTTTATTTCAGGCATCAGTGTGGACACGGCCAGACCCTCCCTGGTGTGATGGCAGGAGGAGATGGCTTTAATCATGGATATAAAATGAGTATTTATATCCATTTCAATGGCTATTTATATCCATTAAATTGGGTATTTATATCCATTTCAATGGCTATTTATGTCCATTAAATTGCATATTTAGATCCATTTCAATTTCTGTTTATGTCCATTAAATTAGCTATTTATATCCATTCAATCATAGATATAAATATTGGATACCACAAAGTGGTAGCAGCAGGTTTTGGGAACAAGAGTTGGGATACTTTGGACCTTGAAATCTGCTTTTTGGGATGGTTTTGTTATTCCCAAGACATTTTTCCACACAGTTTGGCGTTCTTTAACGTTGATATTTATGACTGGAGGATTTTCTAACATTTTGTCACTGCTGTTTTCTGAGTATCAATGCTACAAGCAGAAACGTGGCAAGAAGCTCCCTGAGTGCAGTTTTGTGTGTTTCTGCAGAGTTTGGGAGGTTTTTAAGGTCAGCTATTTCTGCCACAGCTATTGCTCTGTCACTGATGGTGTTTTTATTAATAACCAAGGCCTAGAAAACCCTTGGGGCTTCAAATCTGGGGCACTGTTTCATCTGGCACCACCTGAGCTCGCGCTGTTTGTCCCTGCAGGGGGGTCTCTGGATGTTTATAGAAAAATTCCAGAACACGTTCTCGGAAGGATAGCGGTGGCTGTGAGTAATTCATTGCTTTTTGTCTCTCAGTTTTTGCCGTGGGGGTGGAAAATCTGGGTTTGGGTGGTCGCTGGGAGGGTCTGTGTGGGAGGAGGGTTCTTTCCTCTCTCTGCTCCTGCAATCCATCCCCTGTGCTCAGGGGCTCTGAGGGAAAAGTGCCTTGGGAATGCCCAGCACAACCTCTGGGACTGTGGCATGGCCATCCCATTCCACAGGGAGGAGGGATGGGAGTGCTGTGAGGGAAAGGTGGGAGCTGGGATGGTCCGGCCTGCAGGGGAGAGAGCTCCAGGAGAGCTGGAGAGAGAATGGGCACAGGGGATGGAGGGACAGCACACAGGGAGTGGGTTCAGAGTGGGAAAGGGGAGATGGAGATGATTTTGGGAAGGAATTCCTGGCTGGGCTGGCATTCCCAGAGCAGCTGTGGCTGCCCCTGCATCCCTGGCAGTGCCCAAGGCCGGGCTGGATGGGTTTGGAGCAGTGAAAGGTGTCCCTGCCATGGTAGAGCTGGCACTGGATGGGGTTTAAGGTCCCTCCCAACCCCAAACCATTCCAGGATTCTGTTTCTCAAACCTCTGTGACAATGTGGGTAAATGGACTGGGATGAGGAAACAAAAGAATTTGCTTGGAAATCTGTTTGGTCACGTCCCTTCCTGTCAGCATTTCTTGCCATCAGGATGGAGAAGTGCTTTTAATCACCTTGATTTATTAAATTATTTCTTTGGGGCCTTCAGGAGGTGGCTCAGGAGCCCTGTGGGGATCCTTTGTCTCTGAGTGTGTGATTTCCATCCTGGCTGCCCCTATTGTGGCCAGAGGGTCTCCCTTGGTTTTCCAGCCCTCTCTCTTTGGTTGCTCTGTGGGTTTTCCGTGAGGGCTGGGTTGGTTGCTGCCACCCAGATGCAGAGGCAGAACAGATTTTCTGTGTTCTGCTCAAGGAGGATGGAGTTTTTCCCTTGGCACGAGCCAGAGCTGCCACGGGCTGGTCTCTCAGCCCCAGGGAAGGGTTAATTGGGGTCACTTTTGGGGTGGTGAGGCTGTGCTGACAGCAGAACCCTCACATCTCCTGGGCTTGGTCATGAGGTGCTGACAGCGGGAGCCTTAAAGCGCCTGGCAGCTCATCCTTGGGGCTCTGCAGCTTCAGCTGCTGAAAATCCACTGGCCATGATTGAAAACTCAAATTACAGACCACCAGAAAATTCAAAAGTTCAAAAAACCCATCTTTCCCCACAGCTGAGCAGAGGGTAATGACCAGTGTCTCAGTGGATCTCACCAGGGAGGGAGACACTGCAAAACAATTGCCAAATATAAGGAATACTTTGATAACTTAAGCAGTTTAAAGCATAACAAAGTTATTCTATCATGTGCCATTTAATTAAGTGCTGGCTTTTCACATTCATTATACATCAAGCTGACAATTTAAATCCTTTAATCCAACACAGGCAGCTATTTAGTCTCTGTTCATTGTAATTCACAGCTCTCCTTTCCTCTTAATTTGTGTGGCCTGCCCAGGGTGATGAACATCCCTCTCTGATGCTGCTTCCTCTGAGCAGCTTCAAATCTGCTCATTATGTACCTGGCAGCTCCTTGTGCAGTTTGAGAGCTTTTCACCTCAGCTCTCAGGGAGAATCTTTCATCTCCATCCCTCTGCAGCAGCGAGTGGGAAGCTGCTCTCAGAATCCCCACTTTCCTGATGAGGATGATGAGGATGGTTTGATGATCTGGGATGGGCTTCCAGCATCCCCTCAGCTGCTCATTGCTTCTCCTTTTCCTGGTTTTGGTGTGGGTTTAATCCGTCACACCTTGGTTTTATGTCTCCCCCATCCTCCCCTTGCCATCCCACAGGTGTTCCCCTCCAATTTTCCTCTCACCCCTAATGCTGCTGTCCAGCCCCACCTTTGGTGTCTCCAGAGCTGGATTTTTTCATTCTCCTCAGGGTCATTTTGTCCCTGATCAGTCNCAGAGGGATGGAATGGCAGGCAGGTGAATATTTCTGCAGGTGATGTCCTTCAGCTGTCTCCTGATGCTCAGGAGGAATTTTGGCTCCCGATTTCCCTGCGGTGCCACCCAGGGCAGAGCAGGAATCAGGAATTTCCATGGAAGGGCTGCAGCACTGGAGAGAGCAGGCAGCAAACAATGAGCAAGGCTTTTCTTGCAGATCAGACATGGCAGCAAATATTGCAGCTCCACTTCAAAACAAAGCTCACAACTAATGAGGTGATAGCCGTGCATATTAATAAACCCGAGCTGGAGTCATCACACCCACATCAAACATAAACATAAGATTAACACCTCCACCACTTCCTTGGAAGATGTGAGAATGTCCCAATGATAAGTGTGCTCTTTTCCCCAGAGCATAAGAAGTAGAAATGGAAGGGTAATGAGAAATTAACTTAGATTTAAAACAGAATTAGCAATTAAACAAGTCTAATCATGTACAAAGTCAAAGTTTGTCTAAAGACAAACCAGAATCTGTTAAGTTCAAGAATAAGTATAGACCGTGTGCATTTTATCTGCTGTGTTTTGCTGTGTTCACACCTGCTTCTTAAAGGGATTGCAGGAAATCAATGTTACCCACTTGTGTTTAATTGTACTGAGCTGGATTGGTGACTTGGCTCTCTGAGTCCTGGGGCTGTTCATATGGAAATTACAAATATTTATTTATTTTGTGCTTTGGGCACCTCAGTTCCTGGTTAGGTTTTAAAGGGAGGTTCTGGAAGTGTTGCTGGTTTGAAAAGGAGGGAGAATTGAGGATCTGAGATGTGCTGTGTGCAGGAGGAGGTTGGGCATCACTCAGACCAGCTCCTTTTCCCCCAGAACATCAGAAATCCCAGGATGTTCCTTCCACTCCTCTTTGTTCTGGCTGGCAGGGACGGGCACTGCAGGAGCATTCCCATCTTCTCACCATTGCTATTATTATTGATAATTACAATGTTACTGCTGTTGTTATCACGTCAAAACGCTGTAGGTAGAATTTCCATTCGCTTTTCATAAGCCATGGAATCACAGAAAGATTAAGGTTGGTAAAAAACCTTTACAAGATCATTAAATCCAAGCTTTTTGAAAGGCTTGAGGTGAACAAGCCACACCTCTGGGCAGGCAGAATTTGGCCAAAGCTTCTGTTAAAGGCAAAATCCCACCTGATTGTTTGCTGAGGATTCCACCAGAGATGTCCAGAGCTGCATGTTTGCATCTTCCCCCCTTTCCTCTTTTATTTCTGGGGGAAATAATCAGCATTAGGGAGCACAGGCACAAACCCAGGGGTGTTTGGGGATTTACCAGCCTGGGATTGTGGGAGCTGCCCCTGCCCATGGCAGGGGGACAGGATGAGCTTTGAGGTCCCCTCCCACCCCAGCCATCCAGGATTCTGTGTTTCCATGCATTTATTGATGTCTGTATGTAAAGCTGAGCACACATTCTGTGTTTCCATGCATTTATTTATGTTTGTGTGTAAAGCTGGGCACCCACTCTGTGTTTCCATGCATTTATTGGTGTGTGTATGTAAAGCTGGGCACACACTCTGTGTTTCCATGCATTTATTTGTGTGTGTGTAAAGCTGAGCACACACTCTGTGTTTCCATGCATTTATTGATGTGTGTATGTAAAGCTGGGCACCCATTCTGTGTTTCCATACATTTATGCCTGTATGTAAAGCTGAGCACACACTCTGTGTTTCCATGCATTTATTGATGTCTGTATGTAAAGCTGAGCACACATTCTGTGTTTCCATGCATTTATTGATGTCTGTATGTAAAGCTGGGNTTTTATTTCCTGCTTCCCGTTGCCAGTGCAGAGCAGGGGCTGAGGAAGGAGGGCACAAAGGAGCTCGGAGCAGGGAAGCTCCCCGTGTCTGCTCTGGGAGCAGAAGGTGGGCGCTGAGGCTGAGCCAGCCCTGGCAGCTCCGGGCCCTGGTGCTGGTTTTGGCACGGTGCAGGTGCTGCAAGGAGGCAGCAGGAGCCTTTTGTTTCCTTGGAATTGCTCCTCTGAGCCTTTGAGGGGCTGGGGCACCTTTGTGCTGAGTCCTTGTAATCCCCTGAGCACCTTGGGATTGCCCAGATCCCGGCCTTGCTGAGGGAGCAGAGACAAAAGCTGCAGCTCCATGGGTGGGTTTTGTGGACAAAACCTTCAGCTTCCATCATTTCTTTCCCCAGTCTGGTTTATTTTTCCATCCCCACAGTAATTTTTTTTACTCTCCCAAGACATGTCCAGAGCATGAATCCATGGAAGCTGCTCGATGACATGGTGTGCAGGTTTTTAAGGGAAGCCATTTCCAGAGGAAAAGGATGCAGCACAAGCAGGCATTCCCTGCATCCCAGCACTCCTCTGGCTCCAGCTTTGGGATTTCTGGGCTTGGACTCAGATCTGGGAAGGCTTTTCCAGCCTAAATGGTTCTAAATGGGCACCACTGGGTTTGTCCTTCTCATTTTCTGCCCTCCCAACCAGACTTGGAGTGGATGTGGGGCAATTCCAGAGAGGCCCCAGGGGCTGGAGGGATCTGGGAATGTTCCCCTGGAGAAGGGAAGGATCCAAGGAGAGCTCAGAGCCCTTGCAGGGCCTGAAGGGGCTCCAGGAGAGCTGCAGAGGGGCTGGGACAAGGATGGAGGGACAGGACACAGGAAATGGCTCCCTGTCCAATGTGGCATTCCAAGGGCACCTGTGCCAGGGCCTGCCCACCCTGCCAGGGAACAATTCCTCATTCCCAATGTCCCATCCATCCCTGCCCTCTGGCACTGGGAGCCATTCCCCTTCCTGTCCCTCCATCCCTTGGGAATTGTCTCTCTCCATCTCTGGTTTTGGTTCCTGCAGGCCCTGCCAGGCCGCACTGGGGTCACCCTGGAGCTCCCCTCTTTTCTCCAGGCCGGACAATCCCAATTCCCTCAGGAGCTGTGCAGGGATCTCTGCCCTCACCCTGAAACCCATCCCTGCTCCCTTTGGGAGTCCCCAGCAGTGAGAAGGAGAAATCTCCCTCTGTCCCTCTCCTTCCTGCTGTTTTTATTTCCATGGAGGCCCTGGGGTGTTTTCTGAAGGAGAAGCAGATTTGGGGAGCCCCAGGGTGAGCTGTGGCCATTCCTGGGGTGGAGCTGCTCCCTGTGAGCGGGCTGGGGCTGTCAGAGCCCCTGTGCCTCTCCACACATTTGTTTTCTGGAGCAGTGACATTGTGCTCCGTGCTGTTGATTGAAGTTCTCCCTGAAAGGATGTGCACTTGAACTGTCAGCAGAGTGAGAGATTGACAGCAGGTGGAAGCACTTTTTGTGTCAAGGCTTTGTCAAGGCATTGTTGTAAAACCTCCTTTACTGAATACCAATAATTCCTGCTCCAGCTTCAATCAAAAGATTCTCCCCTCCAGTTTTAGAATAATGTTTAATGCTTGAGAGTCCTTCCCTAATAGGCAAATGTGAGGGGAGTGAATAACGAGCTGAGTCCATTTGGGCAGATTTACAGCCCAGGATAAAGGGAAAAACTCCTTTTTTATTCCTTTGTACACCCAGGGAGTCTGAGGGGAGAGTTTGGTAATTCCATGGCTTCCCTCTCTGCTCACCCTGCACATGTTCCATAATAAAGATGTGTAGTAACTCACAGCTGCTGATTTGTTTCCTGAGAAATGCTTCCCTTTTTTTTTTTAATAAATGCTTGCTTTAAACTAAATAATTTCCTATGGTTTTAAAGATTTTCAATAGTCTAAATACATTTTTAATAATCAAAGAGTTTACTGTTCTGAAAATCCCTTTGGCCATTGGAGGAGGTTTGAAATGTTGCATCCCCTTGATTTCTTTTTGCATTGGTAGATTATAATTTAGATTTATACTTTTATGTATATTTATAATTTATATATTTATATTAATTTGTTACTAATAATTATTATTATTTTAATGTTATTGCTGTTATTATTGTCAAACACTGTAAATAAAATTACAGTCAAAACACTGTAAATAAAATTTCCATTTGCTTTTCATAAGCCATGGAATTGTGGAAAGATGAAGGTTGGAAAAAACCCTTTAAGGTCATCAAATCCAAGCTTTTTGAAAGGCTTGAGGTGAACAAGCCACACCTCTGGGCAGGCAGAATTTGGCCAAAGCTTTTGTTAAAAAGCTGAAGGCAGGAGATGTTTGGGTTTGGAGTGAGTTTAAGGGAGGAATTTTCTCCTGGAACAATTTCTTTGGGGCCCACCATCATTATTTGCCTTACAAAAAGATTCTGATTCCACCAACATCATTTCTCTTACAGAATAAATTTTAAATTTTGAAAAAGTTTCTAATGCAAGAGGAAGGCAGAAAATGACTGTGCTCTCTGCTTTCACTCTGTGTCATTTTTAGCACTTCTGCTCGATCACTGCAACATAAATAATTTCATTTTGGGCTACTCAGAGCGCAGAAAATGAATTGTCTTGACTGCAGAACTCAGGCAACTTGAACAGTGTCAGAAATGCTGCATTGTTCTGGAGATCTGTGAGGAAAACCTCCTGGAAATGGAATTAAATTTCACCTCAGGGATGGGGAGCTCAGCACTGCTTGGAATTTTGTGGTTGGGATTTTGTGGTTGGGATTTTGTGGTTGGGATTTTGTGGTTGG